TCAACCTTGAGCCGGTGAGATTTGAACCGCTGAACTGCAGATAACAGTCAGCTGAAGTGGCCTGCAGTACTGCACTCTAACCACTGCGCCACCTCAGCTCTCTTAAAGTCTTAAAGTTCCCAAGTTTGCACACCCCTGTTCTAAGCGACGTTGCAAGAAAACTTTTTTCTCAAGGATGACAACCCAGCTATCAGTTTGCAAACCCTCAAAAGAAATCCATATTCTGGACCCCCAAACGTCTCGCTCCAAGAGCCAAAGGGAAATCTTCTCCCTTAGGATACAGCCAAGTGCTGATGGAAATAGAGGCCAAAGAAAACGGAAACGACTTGACAGGCCGCAATCCACCAGACGTAGAAAGAGAACAGCCCCCGGTAGAAAAGAGGAGTGAAGACGGTGCCCAAGGCACTAAGAGACGCAGTGATCTGTTCTACCGCCGCCTGGATATCTTCGCTCCCAGAGTCCTCAGAGGCTGCGGCCTGGCAAACCGGAATGGCATCAGGCGCTGGAGATGTTAGTGCAGGCTCAGGATACAGGCCCCAGGAATAGTCACCTTTTGGGGAGAGAAAGGAATAGGGTTACTGTTCTGACCTAGGCTTCATGAAATCACGAAGCAGACTCCTTGTCCCGACAAAAGCACTTTTTTATTAAACTAATGTGAATTCCTCTCATTCACATCCAGCAAAGTCCCAGCAAACAGCCTTCCAAGGGTGAATTTACAACCACAGACCTTATCAGACTTGGAGAGCTGCCAGGCTGTTATCTTCCAAGAAAATACTTGGCAAGGAGTCTCTGAGAGTCACAAACAAATCGTCACAATAATTAAGTGAACTCAATGTCTCCTGCAAACTCCCCTCCCCTTTCGCTCCTCTTTATTTTCTCTGGAAGGGGCCATTCACTGTCCACCTGTGTCTTTACTCCTGGATCGGCCTTTAGCTGTTACCTTCTCCTGGCAGCTCTGCACATGCGCACATCGGGAACAGGTTCNGCTGGTCATCAGGGCAGAGAACCGGTTGTTAAATTATTTGAATCCCACCACTAGGCTTAACCATTTCATAACGGACGATGGCAACTTAACTGACCTGGAAGCTAAGTGGGACTTGGTCAGAATTTAGATGAGAGTCCAGTAGGAAATTGCAGGGCTGGACTTTAACTGGGAAGTTAAAAGAAGAAAGACGCAAGAGAAGGCGATACTTGAGAACCTCTGTTGTATTTCCTGTCACCAAGGAGTTAAATATAACGAGGGGACGGGCTCTTTAGGTCTGATCATGCTGTGATTTAAGCCTCTTGTGTGAAACAAACTACGGTGTTCTTCTGACCCCCTGGCTATAGAGAGTCCTCAACTTACGACCTCAACTATGCCCCCTTCTGTTGCTAAGCAAGGCACTTGTTAAGCGAACTGTGCCTAATGTTATCTTTTTTTGCCACAGTTCTAAAGTTCATCACTGAAGTTGTTAAGTGAAACATGCAGTCGTTAAGCGAATTTGGCTCCCCCCCCCAATGACTTTGCTTGTCAGAACCTGGCTGGGAAGGTCACAAATGGGGATCAGGCGATCCCGGGAGAGTGCAATTGTCATAATGACATGCCAGTTGCCAAGCCCCCAAATTCTGATTCCATGAGAATGGGGGCTGCTCATACGATCATAAGTGTGGAAAAAAAAATTCAGTGCTGTTATAACATTGAATGGCCACTAAACAAATGGTTGTAAGTCAAGGACTTACTTATTTTTCTTGATTATAATACTGCTATTTTTCTATCTTTGTATTGTTATGCATTTTATGTCCCATTATTTGTAAGGCCTTTTTAGTATTTTTTTTTTATTTATTTTTTCTCAAAAAAAGAAGAGGTATATAGAGTTTAAATTAATGTGCAGCTGGAATCCTTAGTTGAATAGAAAAGGCAACTTCTTTCTTTTACCACCACCGATCCTGATTGTGGAAAACTTACATTTAAGTTATATTTAAACCTCCCATCACTCAAATCTGCTTATGGACAAAGATGGTTCTGCTTCTTATGAAAAGCGTTTTGTAAGTTTCACTTTTACCTGCATCAGTTACTACGGGATTTTAACTGGAGCCAGTTTGGTAAAGCACCAGGCTAGAAACCAGGAGATTGTGAGTTCTAGTCCCGCCTTAGCCATGAAAACCGATTGGGTGATTTTGGGCCAATTACCAGGAGACTCTTGAGTTCTAGTCTGACATTAGCCATGAAAGCTGGCTGGGTGACTTTGGGCCAGTCCCCCTTTCTCCCACCCCAACCTACCTCACAGGATTGTTGTGGGGAAAATAGGAGGGTTAATAGCAATAGCAATAGCAGTTAGACTTATATACCGCTTCATAGGGCTTGCAGCCCTCTCTAAGCGGTTTACAGAGTCAGCA